GGCTCATCCTGGAGCAAAGGAGGCTCAGGGGGGACCTTCTGGCTCTGCAAGTCCCTGACAGGAGGGGGGAGCCGGGGGGGGTCGGGCTGTGCTGCCAGGGAACAAGGGACAGGCCAAGGGGAAACGGCCTCAGGCTGGGCCAGGGGAGGGTCAGGTTGGGGCTGAGGAGGAATTTGTTGCTGGAAAGGGTAGTGAGGCCTTGGCAGGGGCTGCCCAGGGAGGAGTCCCCACCCCTGGAGGGATTTCCAAGCCCTGTGGATGTGGCACTTGGGGACATGGTCAGTGGTGGCCTTGGCAGAGCTGGGAAGGGTTGGACTCCACGGCCTTAAAGGTCTTTTCCAACCTAAATGATTCTATAACTGTAAGATTCTAAATCTCAAGGCCTTGCTGAAAAGTGTCCTGCACTCTGGCAACGAGCAGCTGATTTCACAGGTGATTATTTGCTAAGAAACACCTTTAGGAACGACACACCTTGATGTGGTTTTGCAAGGAACTAACTTTAACTGTTTTTATTTCCCTTTAAAGTTTATTGGGAACTGACCCCAGTGCTTTACCCCGTGTAACCCACCTGGGATTGTGTGTTGCAGGGTCCAACTCCAGGGCTTGATGTGGAGCTCCAGCTGCTCAGCAAAAAGGCTCAGCCATGGTAATACAGCTTTGATCCTTCTGAGGAGGGTTGAGACCACTTTTTAAGGAAATGGGAGTTAACATCCAACCATTCCCAGGGCTGCAGGACATAAACTGACCTGCCCAAATTCACTTTGTGTACAATTATGCACCAAATTCTGACTTTCAGCTTTTCCTGCTCTTGGCTGCAGGCTGTAAAACTTTGCACATGTTGTATAAAGCCTTTTTTATTTTGAAAGATCAGCTACAGGCTAAAATTCCAGCCAGGAACCTACAAGTGCTCACAAAATCCAGTAGAGACCCTGCTGGGAGTGCACAAGCAGGGAGTGGGGCTGGCTGCAAAACCTCCTTTGAGCTGTAAAAGGACTTTTTAGAACTGATAGCACGAAAAATACACTTCACACACAGTTAATGCCCAGCTGAGAGCCAGGACTGGGATGTAACAAAACAGCTGTTCTGGGATGTCTTGGGATCATGGAATCCTGGAATGGTTTGGGTTGGAAGGGACCTTAGAGATCATTTAGCTCCAGCCTTCCTGCCATGGGCAGGGACACCTTCCACCAGCCCAGGTTGCTCCAGCCTGGCCTTGGACACTTCCAGGGATCCAGGGGCAGCCACAGCTTCTCTGGGCAACCTGTGCCAGGGTCTCCCCACCCTCCCAGCCAGGAATTCCTTCCCAATATCCCATCCATCCCTGCCCTCTGGCACTGGGAAGCCATTCCCTGTGTCCTGTCCCTCCCTCCCTTGTCCCCAGTCCCTCTCCAGCTCTCCTGGAGCCCCTTTAGGCCCTGCAAGGGGCTCTCAGCTCTCCCTGGAGCCTTCTCCAAGTGAACCTCCCCCAGCTCCCAGGAGGGAGACGATAAAGACCCAAACCTGAGAGGGTTTGTGGTGGTTTTCCCTCTGCAGGCAGACAAAGCCAAGCCCAAGGGTGGCAAAGGGAAGTCCAAGAAGAAGGAGAAGGCGGTGGTGAAGGAGGTGGACGTGCTGGGCCCCGCCGCCATGCTCAACGCCTACTACATCTCCCACAACGCCGCTGCCTTCCTCGAGTTCCGGGGCTACCCCTGGCCTGGCTCTCCCAAAAAGAAGGGGAAGAAGAAGTGAGAGCCAAGCTCCCAGGTGATTAAACTCGTCCTGACCTCTGCAGTGTTGGCTCAGGGGTTTCCCTTGGTCGCCGCTGTGTCCGTACAAAGGTGCTTTTCTTGCAGCTCGAGCTCGGGGTGACAAAGGCAGGGGACACTGGGCCATTGTCCCTTCAGCTGTGGCCCGTCACAGGGTCTGTGTGCATGGAAAGGTTGAGCCTGGGCAGGGCTTGAGCTGGGGTTTGCTTTACTCCCACTGCTGCCATTCCCTGCGGATGGGATGTGCTTCCCAGTACCTGCAGCTGTCTGACCCTGAGCTGGGAAAGTGGAATTCAGGGCAGGATTGACAGTGTTAAGGGTGACTGTGGAACATCAGCTGAGCTGGAGAGTCCTGTGAGGAGCAGCTGAGGGAGCTGGGAAGGGTCTGGAGCAGCAGGAGTGGCTGAGGGAGCTGGGGAGGCTCATCCTGGAGCAAAGGAGGCTCAGGGGGGACCTTCTGGCTCTGCAAGTCCCTGACAGGAGGGGGGAGCCGGGGGGGGTCGGGCT